TTCAGCTCTGGGAGGAATTTGCATGTGAAATGGCTGGAATTCCCACAGCGCTCGTTGGCCTGTGGTCGATGAAAGGAGCGAACACAGAGACGTTCTTCTTCCTGGACCAGGTTCATCTGCAGTCCTGCAGCACCACCACCAGGAGCCCTGCTCTCCTCTGGGTTTGACTTCACCAGTGGGAGTGGGAGTGGGAGTGGGAGTGGGAGTGGAGCGCTGCAGCCCGAAATATTGTCATCAAATTCACCTCCAATAAAAGAAACGAAACAAGAAACGAAATGAACTGACGTAACATTTCAAAGGTTTCGGTGAGTTTCCGAACATCAAAGCCATTGGTTCAAATGTATACGTCTGTGGTTCCCAAAGAGGAGGGCGGGGGCCCCTCAGGGGACACAAAGTTACTGCAGTAAAAGTCCGTTCCTTTAATCGGACGTTGAACCGTTTTCCTTTGTTCACGACGACGACGACGACGACGACACGTCTGTTTTCACTGCAGTTGTTCAAAGTACCCGCTGTGAAGTGGAGCTGCAGCTGTGACCGAGTCGGTGTCAAACTGAAGGTTTGGGGACCACCAGTGCACACTCCAAAGAATGTCTCTAAAGCTGAGGTGCCCACACTTTAGGGACCGGGTACTAACCCATGTGGGTTGGTCAGTACTCGGGTTAGAACTCCCTGGTTTTCAACCGGTGGTTCATGTCGTTATGTTTGTACCCCAAGTTTTTCAGTTGAAGAGGATGGAATGGATGGAAGTACGAAGTACACACAAGTACTGTAGAGTCAGGAGTACCACTAGTACCAGACTCCTGAGGACCTTTAACCGCTGGGCCACCGCGCCACGGTCAGTTACTGCCGTCACATGACGAGACGTTCTCCTCGATTCCTACTCCGTCACACGTGTCAAACTCAGGCCCGGGGGCCAAATCTGGCCCTTAGTGTAAATATATCTGGCCCCTGAGATCATATCAAAGGTGTACTAGAGTTGGCCCACCAGAATATAGTCCCTATAATGACAGGATTTAGCAGCACACCACTGCACACAACCAAATGTGACCTCTGCTTTTAACCCATCACCAAATTGAACAGTCCACTTCCTTAACCACTGAGCCACCACCGGCCCGATTTGTAGTGTGGGCAGTGTATACGCATCTTGTGTTTTGTTGTTGTTGGCCTGTGAAAAAATGATTTACACTAAAAAGGAACTTGAAAGTGTAGAGATAAAGAGACGTAATAAGAAACAAATACCACTGATGTGTGACTTATTTCAAAGTTAATTTCTCATGTTTTTATAGTATTAAGCTTTGGTTGTTTGTTTTTTGATACGAAAAAATTCAACGTTACAGATCTGGAGAGAAGGGAAAACATGCACGATTGCCATCAATTTTTCAATAATTATTAAGTTTGGCACCCCTAATGTAGAATATATAAAAGCGAGCCAATGTAAATAAAGTTGGCCAAAACCAAAT